GCTACACGACAATACATTATTAGGACCATTATATCATGTGCCGTTCAATGTCTGCGCACGCGCTGACCGTTACTATTGCGTGTGCGGCAACGAAGGGACAGCCTCAGTAAGTTCGCTACCTTCGTCAGAAAACGATGGAGGATGATCTCACGGATAGTACTAGTGTCTCCGTATCCACATACTTGGTTGAATACAAATACAACGAGTACAGTATCCAGATAATACGTTGGATTCTCAAGGCGATTAATGTATGGCCGCGTCCCACCGATATCTCAATCATCGAAAAGATCCGCTCCGATTTCGCGATATTTGTGTGCTACTTCCTGATAATCAGCATCATGATACCAACTGGTCTGAGTATACTCATCGACTCGCAGCAGTCGAACGACGACAAGCTATTGAGCGTTGGCCCATTCACCTTCTGGCTCATAGCGATGATGAATTATTCTTGTCTCTTGATGCACGTGGACGATATACACGACTGTGTGGAGCACGTGAAAGCGGACTGGCGAATTATCCGGAGATGCGAGGATCGGAGAGTGATGCTGAAGAGCGCCAAGATAGGTCGATTCATCGCCGGTTTCTGCGCCGTGTTCATGCACAGCGGTGTGTTCTCGTACAATATCGTCCAAGGCCTCTCCAAAGTTATCTTACACGTGGGGAATAGTACCGTCGCGGTTCGCGCGTTACCCTATCCCTTCTACATCAAGATTCTCAACGCGCACGTCAGTCCGACGTACGAGCTCGTGTTTTTTGTACAGTGCCTCTCGTCCTTCGTCGTCAACTGCGTTACAGTCGCCACATGCGGCCTGGCAGCAGTTTTGGTAATGCACGCGTGCGGCCAAATGAAAATCATGATATCCTGGCTCGAAAATTTCATGGACGACAAAAATGAGGAAAAAACTTCTATTTCTATGAGACAAAGGTTCGCAATCATAGTGAATCATCATTTGAGAATCTTGAGGTGAGCTATCATTTCTGACTTTTTGCTGTGTACCTACTTGATATTTTCTAATTTGCATCACCGGATCCAATCCAATTTAATTAAATCGTAACGTAATTAACAGCTGATATCAGCATATTTTTTTAATGCAACTGTTATATGCTTAAGTCATAATTTAGGTTTCATTTTTAAATGTTACATAATAAACGTTATATGCTTAATCAAATAAAAATTGCTGCAAAATAATTATGACAGATCGTGATCATACGCTATATTTGCAGTTTTGTATCCCGTACAGAGAAAATTATGAATATAATATGTCTTGTGGAATTAATTGGATGTACTATGCATATATGTCTTTTAGGATATTATTGCATTATGGTATGGAAATTCTTCCAGAATATATATGTATATAGTCACAATTTATATATTTTCGTTTTACTATTCGTTTTACTATTATACCACTTGAATGTACCTAAGATTTAATAAAATAAAGTCTCTTTTAGGATTTTATTCACGACAATCATCAAAGTATTTTGTCGCATTCAATGGTATTATCTTCGATTACTTTTAATATATTTATATTCTGTTATATCGGAGAGATACTTTCTGATCAGGTAACATTTAAAATTGAAAATGACAATAAAAAGTTCTAATAAAAAGTTGTACGTTTTAATAAAAAAGAATCAATATAAAATCGGCGATAGAGTTTATGGTGTTTATACTTACAAGATCGAGATTTATTACGAAAATTTATTGAGATGCAATATCGCTGGTCTCTTTAATCGAATTATAACAGGTATACAAAACGGCCTTTAGGGCGAACAGATCGGTAAATCTGCCTATATGACAAACTGGTATCTCTTGCCTGGAAAAACCGCCCAGGGGCTCATTCTGATAATTCTAAGATCCAATGCTGGCATCAAGATAACTGCCGGAAAGATTGTTCAGCTCTCATTTTCCACTTTCGGTGATGTAAGTATGCAAAAATATATATTATTTATAATTTATGCATATAAAACAAAATGGAATTTATATTCATATAAAAATTGTTTGTCTGCATTGAAATTTTATCACATTTGTTATATTTCGTGCAATATATCTGTAAAAGTATTTTAAGATATAAATATTTTTTCAAAGAATAATGGATTTTTGAACGAAGATGAGTAATTTCTAATTGCTTTAGGTAATTAAATCTGCCTTAGCGTATTTAAATATACTTCGGACTGTACTGCTTACGTAAATAATTGTACAACTTTGGTGTGGAAAAAATAACATGCAAAATAAGCAGTTTATAATAAATATAGATACTTGATAAAAACTTTATGTAATATTTTTTTATGTTAAATGAGTACTCATTGTCCCGGCCGCAAATAAATTAACAAAAAAAAATAATACTCTTGTTTACCAAATGTTTACTTAAAAACACAATGAGTGCTTTTCATTTAGCGACTCAAGTCGATACAAGTCATTCTGTCTTTTTTTAACATCTAGTAAACAACGAAGATAAAGTGACGCTTATGTCGACTTGTGTCGTTAACTGTGGAAAGCAGTGAAACCACCCAACATAAATTTTAATTATAGTTAATTGTAGAATTTTATGAGATCAAAAATATAGTAAGTGTATACGTACACTGAGAGAAATAATAATTTTTTTCAAAAAAAATTTTGTTGATTTAATAAAACCGGAAGATAGTATATTGCCAACCAGATGATTTGATTGGCTTAACAAAATATTTGTACAAAATATTTTGTTCTTTTTGTTCTTTTTGACTATTTTGTTTGTTGACTATATCGAATTGTTCTTCTTAACTAAATATTTTATACTCTCAATTATACATAATATAACATTAACTAAATATTTCTTTAAATAAATTTACTATTTTTAAAAACGTTAATGTTCTTGGTTCAACAAAATTATTTTATTGAGTTAACAAAATTGATCATTAACTTAAAAAAAAATGATATTGTATGATACCATTTTCAGAATTCAATTATTTCATTTTGTTCAAATAATAGACGTGTACTTAATTCAATAAAATAAATAATTGGATCAATAAATTGAAAAATCAACAAAACTGTTTTGTTGATTCTACAATATTTTTCCCTCAGTGTAGTGTGCACACGAACACAAGTCTTACTTACAAATTCAGGAGGCATCAGTATTACATATAAATATGCTTCAACCAATTCTCTTTCATATATTTATATTTATCTATGTAAAAATGTTAATTATATTAGAAATATTGAATTTATCAAAATATATTAATTTATTCAATATTGTCATTATATTTTCTTATACGTTGCACTCTAATAACAGCTAATAAATTTAAATGAATATTTTAATTAACCTTTCAGAAAGGAATTTATATCTCACATTTGTTCTTGTGCTACCCTTTTTAAAGACACATTCAGTCCCATCAGAATAACCATATGTAGAGTGAGGTATACGTAAAAGGTCGTCTACTGGCTATGTCAGGAAATCTGAAGCAGGAAACATGTATCCAGTATATTACGTATTCCCCCTTGATCGTGAACAATAGCGCATCGGAACCCTTTTTTCCCATCAAATTTACTTCCTCATCTGCATCCCCTCAAAAGGACTTGCACGCAGCACGCAATAAAGTTCCAGGAAACATAGTCTCACTAATAAATAATTAAATAGCAGGTAGAAAAGGAAGAAAGGAATCAATTGCGTTCACGCACGAACGTTTATATAGGCGGACAGAAGACGCACATGCGCGTGCCGAACTGGCTGACCGTCAGCAGTTCGCTGACGCTCAGTCAGTTGCGTGCATCGTCGCGATTTAGTCCTTACTATGCTCGAGCATTCAAAGTTGAACTCTATCAAATCCATTAGTCTCGAACTAACGGACGGTTGGAACTACAGCATTCAGCTGAATCGCTGGTTCCTGAAACCGATCGGCGCGTGGCCGTTGACTCTCTGCGAGACCACGATGGAGAAGATTGCTTGCATGATCCTGACGGTGGTCAGTTGTTTCCTGATATGTTTTCTGCTTATCCCATGCACTCTTTGTACCATCCTAGTGGACACCGATCTCGATACTAAAATCAGAATGATCGGTCCGGTCAGTTTTATCCTGATGGCCGCGGTGAAGCAGTACATCCTCATCACCCGCAGTGAGAACATCAGCGA